TTGTGTATGTATAATCTATGAAATCTTAATTGTGTATAATGTATGAAATCAGAAAAAAAAAATTGGGTATAATCTCTGAAATCTTAATTGTGTATAATGTATGTATAGATTATGAAACCAGAATTTTTTTCATTGTATAATCTATGAAATCGGATTTTTTTTGGTGTATAATTTATGCTCTAATGTTATTAAATCAGAATTTTTTTTTTGTATATAATCTATGCTCTAATGTTATGAAATCAAAATTCCTTTTGTATATAATCTATGCTCCAATGTTATGAAATCAAATTCTTCTTTTTTTTTGTGTATAATCTTATGTTCTAATGTTATGAAATCTCAAATTGTATATATATAAGCTATGAAATCAGAATTTTTTTTCTATGTATAAGTTATGAAATTCGTAGAAAGTTGTTGACTTTGATTGTGCTATTGTTATTTAGGATTATGTTGGTCTCATTGGTAGAAAACTGTTTATGTTTAGATATTTATGTTAGCTTGTTATTTATGTTTTAGGATGTTGGTTTGGAGCGAGAGTGAGGATAAAACCTTTCTTGATGCATGTATCCATGAACTAACCACTCATGGTCGTGAGGCTTCTAGGCTTAAGGCAAGTTCATGGAAGACAATACGCGAAAAAATGATAAACGAACATGGTAAAGAGGTTGATCAGAAGTAAATGAGAAACCACTTTGACTACTACAAATCAAAATATGTTGCTTGGGTGAAATTGAAAAACAAAACTGGCAATATATATGATCCTATAAGAAATAAATTTAATTTGACCGATGAACAACGGAAGGAAGAGGGAAAGGTAATACTTTTTATAACAAATACTAGTATGATTATTTTTATAACAAATACTAATATTTACAAAAATTGTAAACAGTTGAACAAGTTCGTGATGTCATTAAAAACTAGACCTCTAATGTACCCTGATCTTTGCACCCAACTATTTGAAGGGTCGACCTCAACCGGCTTTCAAAGTTGGGGTCCATCTTCTACACTCCCTCATCATGTAGAAGAGTTTAGTTCCCATGATTTTGATGATGATCTTCCAATGGAAACCTCAACACAACACGTAGGTGCAAGTGAAGAATCTTCGGGGAGTTCAAAAAATAAGGAAGCTGGTGGAAACAAAAGAGTTGGTGGAAAAAAAAGAGATGCAAGGGCATTAGAAGTTGAGGATGAGATTGTCAAGCTTGCAAGGTCGTTAGTGGAAAAAATGAAAGAATTGAAAAAAGTGAAATGGATAAGGATGTTGATGGATGTATGGAGAAATTGAACAAAATGGAATGGGGAGAAGAAGATAAAAGACACAAGACTGCTCTTTTGCTATTTGGTGAAAGTGCCGATGTTAGGAAAGTTTGGTTACGACTTTCACATACTAGTTGTGAGTCATGGGTGATGGGTGCGGGTAGGAAGTATGATTACCTTTGATGATGTTTACTAGTTTTTTTGTTGAATGACTTTTTGTTACTTGCATGACATTTGGATGCTATGTTTGATGACTTTTTTGTTATGTTGGATGGTACTTTGGATGCTATGTTTGATGACTTTTTTTGTTATATGATATTTGTTACTTTGAATATGTTTGATGATTTTTTTTGTTACTCTTGTGATGTTTGATGACTTTTTTGGTGCACGAATATGTTTTACTTTAACATGTTACATAATTGCTTGTAACAGGTCAAATATGGTTTTTGATGGTGAAGTTGTAGCTTTTCTTTTACTTGTAATTTATTGGTTGAGGTCAAACCGGCGCAGGCTAATCAAAATTCATAGAATTAGAGATAACGATTTAAGTGTGTATGCATATACGCAAGATTTGATGTACGGAGACCCTACACAATGTTACGATATGATGCGTCTTACACAAGAGGCATTTGCATTATTATTCAACCATTTTACCTAAAAAAATTGGTTGCAACCTAGTAGGACAATAAGCATTGAAGAGAAGATGGCTATTTTCTTACATGTTATAGGACATAATGAATGTTTTCGCGCGGTTAAGGGAAGATTTCATCACTCCACACAAACAATTCATCAATGTTTTCACGAGGTCCTAACTGCAATGATGTGTTTTGCAAAAGAAATTATAGTACCAACAACTCCTAATTCAACACGACATAACTCAGAACGACATAGACGATTAAAAGATATTTTTTCCAGAGCAATAGGTGCATTAGATGGAACTCTTGTACATGTGGTTGTACCCGTTGATCAACAAATTCGTTATAGGGGAAGAGGAAAAAGGAGAATGTTTTCAAAATGTAATAGGAATTTGTGATTTTGATATGATATTCACCTTTGTTTGGGCTGGATGGGAGGGTATAGCACATGATTCAAGAGTTTTGAAAGAAGTTGCATTCGATCCGACTTCTGGATTTCCATGTCCTCCACCAGGTTTGTAATCTTTACATAACTTTTATTATTTATCTTCTTTATATAATATGTGTCACACTCATTTGCAGATAAATATTACCTTTGTGATGCCGCATATACAAACACTCGTGGGTTTATGGTTCCATACCGCAATACTAGGTATTGGTTAGCCGATTTTCGAAGAGGCAGACCTTTAACTAGAAAAGAAAGGTTCAATTATGCTCATGCACAACTTAGAAATGTTATTGAACGTGCTTATGGTGTATTGAAGGCGAGATTCCCTATCTTAAAACAAATGGCTCCTTATCCTTTTACAGTGCAAAGAGACATAGTCATTGCTTGTGTCGCGGTCCATAATTTTATAAGGAAATACAATATAGAAGATGACTTGTTTACAAATTTTGAGGAGAACACTATGGTTACTCCAGACATCCAAGGTGGGGGAATTGATAGAGAAAACATAAAAGACATAAAATGGGGTCCAAAAGTCGTTCAATATATGCGTGTTTGCGTGTTCAGATTGCAAAACAACTACTTTCACATATTTTACATTAAATTATTATGTTATTTTAAATTTCATTATGTTTTTATTTGGATATTAAATTATTTATGTTTAATTTACATTTTGTATGATAATTTTTATTTGGATTTTTAAATTACTTGTGTGTAATTCACATTTTGTATGACAATTTGTATGTTTTTATAATTATTCAGCAAGTTCATCCATCACTATATACAACAACATGGTAAAATGGTCATTTTTTATTAGTCAGCACATTCAGTCAGATGTACAATCAAACAACATGATTTCTTACTCTCTTACCCAGACAGACATTTCTCAGTCAGCACTTTCTCAGTCAGCATCTATCAAACGGGGCCTAAGTTTAAGTGTTTGGATATGAATTCTTAAAAATCAGCTTATTGTGGTAGGAATAAACTAAATAAGCTGATTTTAATAAGCATTCCTCTTGCTTACTGCTTATTGCCACCATAAACACTTTTGCAAAGACTGCTTATTCCCACCGCAATAAGCTAATAAGCTATAAACCAATTTATCCAAACACCCCCTAACAAAGTGTTAATATGATTAATTAGAGCTTGTGAAAAAAGATACAAACGACTCCGTTTAGGGTCCGCGAAATTAACTTTATTTTTACAAATTGTTTGCGAGAGATTATAAAGATGGTAGTTCTAATTTTACAGAATTTAACATATTTTTCGATGATTTGATTTCACGAAATTACTTTTGTCAAGAAAATCTATATTGCAAATTTAAAAGGATATTTTAGAAAATTGAGTGCTCGTTTATAGAAGAGAAATTAAACAACTTTTTACTTTTAGTCTACCATATGAAATCTATTAACTTTTTTTTTGATCTGTTGTTTTGATTTTAACATTTATTTTAACCGATAAGTGAGTAGAAATACAATAAAAACAAAAAATGAAAAGATATTTGATTTCTTTTTATTATCAAAATCTAAATGCAATCATTTGTTGATATTTGTTGATATTGTATTCCATATTTGACATTTTATGGAATAACACTTGTTTCATTACTTTCTAAATAAAAACAAGATAAGATGAGAGAAAAACCAAAAAGAAAAAGTCAACTTGCTTTTCCATATGTTTTTAACATTTTTTATGATTGTTGGGAGAATATGTACAAAATATTACATGCATAATATCAAAGCTGTCGTCATTTGTCCAACTTGCAAAAATGACTCATAAATTTATGATACTATCATATGCATGAATTTGAACTTAAAAACCTAAATCAACTAGTTAGACTATTAGGTGTGGGCAACATGTTATTACATGTTACCACATCCAAAAGATGTCATGTCAGCATCCTACTCATACATGGGTGTTATAACACCCAAGGTGGAAATGGGCAACATCTAATAACATGTGATAACACCAATAAAAAACTTGATTTTTTTTATGTTAACAAACGGTTGAAATTATGGTGGTTGAACAAAAACACAAGCAAAATCGCGACGTTACCTCCCATGTTCACCATAACGCGTCATAACATAACACCTAATAACGGCTAGGGGGCGGTGTTCCTCCCGTTATGGCGCCGTTATTAGGTGCCATGTCACCTATAACGGAGCTTCCCGTTGCCCACACCCGTCTGTCTTATACAAAACCTGATGTAGTTTTATAAACTTGATCTATTATTTTCTTATCATCGACGACGTCACTGATGTACTTTTATAAACTTGATATATTATTTGTTTATTATATTCTATTGTAACAAATTGATTTTTTTATAAACTTTATATATTATTTCCTTATCATGTTTGTAGAAAAAAATAAATTAAAATACTTATAATGCTTGCAAATGTTGCATGGATTCAGATCGTTTTAGGTCATTTATGTTCAAAATTTATCTGAATTTTTGAGTATGATAAAAATGAAATAAAATAAATTAACTAACAGAGTAATAGGCATTAAATTAAACAATTTAGTAAAATAAAATACGCTAAAGAGTAAAAAAGGCAATTTAACTAATTAAACTAAATCAATTTTAAAATTAAATAAGAACAGAAAATTGTGTGGAGAAAGGCAGTACGACAAAAATCAACAACGTCCAAAGCATCTCCCTTCCCGGCCGGTTACTCGGCTCCTTGCGGTGGCAGCGGTTGTCGGTGGAGCAACAGTTGCCGATGAAGGTTGTGCTGTGGCTGGTGTTGAATCTGATATATATTATTATCATAAGAGCCACCAAGTGATAAAGACGGCGTCATGGCCGCGGCTGTGGTCATGTGGCTGAACTCGCCGCCGCTCACCTGCCCAGACGCTGCTGAAACCGCATCAAACCCACCGGAAAATCCCAAATGATCACCCGACGACCGCTGCTGATCGTAGTTTCTTATCACCTCCGGCTGTCCTCTCTCACCATTAGTTACCCCAATCTGTTGCTGATGATCCTGAAGAATCTGCTGAACTTCCCGGAAGCTCCTCGGTCCGGTCAACCCCAAAACCGGCTCCGGCTGCATGTTGTAAGGTAAAGCCGACTGTTGAATAAACCCTTGATTCAAAATCGGAAGCATAGCCGAAGGTCCGATGTAATTAGCTAATTCCCGTTTAGCATTTTCCAAATCGATCTGGACTTGTCGTAGCCGGTGTTGAAGAATCGAGATTAATCCGACACAGCCGTAAACCGGATCACGCAGGCGGGCGTCGGCTTCATAGGCCAAGGAGTTAACGGCGTCTTCTCGTTGGGTGGCGCTGAGCTCGTTGAGGATTTTTGCGACGTTGCTTGCTCCGAAGACTTTGTGTACGTTGGCGAATTTCTGAGGCTGATCCGGTGGAAAATAGGGTGCGAAAACGCATTCTTGTGTGCATTTACGACGCAAAAACTTACAAGCTGCACATGGTGAATTCGAAGACATTTTCTCCTTTACCTTCACAACTGCATACATAGTTTCACAACTGCAAAAGTAGATTTAATTAATTAATAAAAGTATATACAAAAGAAATGAAATCATTGTGATCGATCGTGTTGACAGACTAGATCTGTTGATTGTGATTAGACACACACACATTCATGCGAGTGATCAGAGAAACGAATATTAATTGTTAATTGAATTCAGAGAAGCTTCATTTTAGTTAGGTTTTTAATTTCACACGGCTGACTTATTAAATTATACGTCGATGAATGAATCGAGTGTAAGAATATGACAAAATCAAAAAAACACAACACAAGGAAAAGAAAGAGGTGAAGCTAGGTTTTAGAGGATGAGAGATGAATGTAAATTCTACAGAAATCTAGAACTGAAACAAAATAGATTGATATTCTTTCTAAAGTTATACCCCACCTCTATTGTTAATTTTTTTTTTCTTCGAAACCTGTTTGGATCACACGCTTGTTCTTCCTTCTCCAAACGAAAACCTAATGATATGGTAAAATTTTGTCAGATGAGTTGCTTCAGCTCATTTCACTGAATTGGATAAAACAGCAGAAATTTCACGTAAATTGTGCACCTTCAAAGAGAGATTTAGAAGCCAATTAAAGTTCTATCACAACAAGTCAACAACCGCTTGATCCTATCTTCATAAAACCCTAAATGAGATGGAGAGTAGAAACATGAAATCAGTTCAGTTTTTCAAAAAAAATTAAGAGGGCATGAAATCAAACTAGAAAGAAACAAACAAACACACACATACACTCAAGTGTTTTGAAGGATGATAGGAGAAGCATTACCTGGACGTAAACGGCGTCATTTGTCTGTGTGTATGGATATATATATATATATTATGAAATTATGAAATTATGAAAATATGAGAGAGAGAGAGAGAGAGAGAGAGAGAGAGAGAGAGAGAGAGAGAGAGAGAGAGAGAGAGAGAGAGAGAGAGAGAGAGGGCGCGTGTGGTGTAATGTGTATCTCCTCCGGTGAGGGAGAGTATTGACCGTCGGATTAAGTTTCGGGGGTTTGTTGCAGCATGGTGAGAGAGAGGAAGAGAGTGACATGACCTACATGATTCTGAACCAGGACTTAAATGCCCCCTGAGTTTCCTCTTTGTCCCTGTACTGTTTATTTTTTATTTCCATAATTACCCTTCCCTTTCTCTTCTCACATTTTTCCAAAATAAATAAAGATTATATAAATTCACACAAAGTTGTTAAAACTGATGTTTTATATTTGATCGTTTTTTTTGTTTTGTAAAATAATGGCCGTAAAATTAAATTGTGATAGTAAGATTCTATTTTATATATATAACAAAAATACATATTCATTTAATTATTCAGTTAATAATAATAGCTTAAAATTGGAAAATACATCTCAAATACAACAACTAAGGCTGTGTTTGGCGCGCCACAGCTAGCTTATTTTTCGAGCTTTTTTATGTTGTCGTATTTGGTAAGCCAAAAAGTAGCTTTTAAGCTAGCTTATAAGCTAGCTTTTTGAAAAGCTACTTAGACTAGCTTTTTATGAGCTTTTTTAAAATTTTCCAAATACACCCCTTAATTAATTATAGAAACACATAATCCTACATGTCCTTTTATGTAATTTTATATATTTCAGCTAGCTTTTCAGCTAGTTTTACCAAACGTTATTTTTTATCAGCTAGCTTTTTATTTAACAGCTAGCTTTTCAGCTAGCAGCTAACTTTTCAGCTAGTACGTCAAACATAGCCTAACAATAAATAATTCAAAAAGAGTTTTGTAGTTCATATTGGATTCACCCAAAACAAAATATTAGAATTTAAAATAACAATAACAATAATAACAATGATCTTACGATCATAAGAGCAAGATCAATTTACCTGAAACTGTAATATTATACGATATTATGATTTGGAGCACCAAAATAATAATTGCTCTTAATTTTTAATTAATGTCATATTACTTATGTTTAACTTTAAAAAAAAATACACACCTTGTTAATTTTTTTTCCTCCATATTCCCTTGTGAAATGTGAATACATATCAAACACTTTGGACATTATTTCATAACCTATTAAAAATGTGTTAAAAAAACGTCTGTATTTAAATATTATAGAAAGTATATTAGTTTTTATTCATTGGGCAAAAAGTAAGAGACAACTTGGAGAGTTGACCCGCTCCGGGCAAGGAGAAGATCCCTCGCGAGAAAAGTTTCTCTATTCATTTTTTATGCAAAAATTTGTTCATGCTTATTAAGCTACATTTACAATGTCTTATTTCATACATATAAATTATGAGTATTTAAATATTTAAATTGTGATTTAATGAGGAAAAAGTTGATTTAATATTGTAGACCATAATCACTTTTAATATAAATAATTTTTAATTATTTCACAGAATGTAGTTTTTTTAGAAAAAAAATGAATGGACTATATAACGTAACGTCTAATTTAGACAAGTAATCAAAATAAATTTTCAGATATTAACTTGAATTCTTTCCACTATGTTGGTTTCTAAAAGAATATAACAGTCTGCAACATTTTATAAAAAAAAATAATAAATAAACTAAAATAAATAAATAAGTTCTATTTATGTATTTAAAAACAACTATCATAAGATTTCGTTCTTATTCTCTTAGTAAAAAATACAAAAAAAATATTTAAAATTTGAAGTGAATAGTTTTTGCAAAAAACATGTATTAAATCATATTAATTTGTAATTGTTTTAGAAATGGTGTTTGCAAAGATGTAAGTGCATTAAATGTGTCGCTGACACTGACATAGTGTCTCTAAAATAAACGAATTAAATATAAAAAGACACATTTACATGTCTTTAAGAATCCAGATTTGACAAATCAAAACCCACATTTTTGTATGTTTAATAAATAATTATGATCGATCGTATTTACTGAAAGATCACGATAAACAGTGTATTTGGTTGAAAACTAATTATTTTTATTTTTTTGAATGAAAAGATTTTAATAAAAAGTTAGAAGAAGATGCTTAGATATAGAAACACATTTACAAAGGAACTATATTACATAGAAGAGATGATGATAATGGGACTATAAATCCAACGTAGCCGGTCAATTTACTCAAAGCTTTACGAAAACTCAAGATTCCATGAGAACAACCGTAGCTAAGCATGTCTTTGGGCCACATTAAGGCCGGAGAGAGCGATAACACTCCTAGCATCTTGTCACGTCAGCTTTTTGAGTGTCACCATATTTTTCTCCATTTAACACCTAATCTTAGCATTAGGTAGGGAGTGGTAACACTCCTAGCACTCCATTTTTTTTATTTCTAATTTAATTTAATTACTTTATTTTAATACACAAACATGTATGTCAAGGAACCGGTTATTCGGTTTAACGTTATCACAACAACATACAATATCTCATGCATAAGATACACCAACCAACGAACACATATTTTACATATAAATAGCATATACGCACATGGTATCAGGGTTTTGATCCTAAAAGCATTCTCATCTATATATTTTCTCTCTCTACCTCCCACCGCCTCTCCCCCCATCTCTCTCTCTCTCTCTCTCTCTCTCTCTCTCTCTCTCTCTCTCTCTCTCTCTCTCTCTCTCTCTCTCTCTAGAATTCTCACCATGCCTCGCAGAAGCTCCGACGGTAAGTTTTTCTTCCGATCTATGATTTTGTATGTGTTAAAATTGTTTTTGTGATTTAATTTAGGAAAAAGAACTTGGGACTGCGAGACAATACTTGAAATGAGTATGAGTAGATGTGAAAGGTATTAGAGGCCTATACTACCGGAAGCACAAGACTTACACTTGGATCAGGGAAAGTCACAAGGTTACCAAGGCACTAGTAGTTGATTTTGTTTTGCTCATGTTTGTCGTTACCATCGTCTCAGTAATGACTAAGAAGATGAATATTATTCTGACCCTAGTGGTCATAGAAAATCAAGTCTGACTATGATAAAATCTACAAAGTGAGTTAGGTTTAGAGAACCAAGATCGATGTAGTTGATGGGTTTATAAGTTACAAAAAAAACTATGTGCTTGCGAAATTTCACTTAACACTTAAAGGCACATGCAACCTAAAGGATCTATGTCATACACTTTGAATCAACATACTATGAACAAAAAAACTAACATAACCCTAATGAAACCCTAGTATAATCAAAAGAAAAGAATTAGGGTTACATACCTTTGATTTGTTGTAGCAAACAAATCACTTCAATCCTTCCTTAGAAGAGCTTGGAAAGGTAGCACCAAAAGTATGATGCATCTAATGGCTCACACCCAAACCCTAGTACTAGAAGACAACTGAGGAGAGAGAAGGAGAGGAAAATTTTGTTCCTAAACGAAATTAAGGTCATAAGGGGTCCTATTTATAGTTTACGTTACTTAGGGACCAAGAAAGATTTGAATGAATTTAATCCCAATCCAAATCTTTTCCTTATATGCATCCAAGAGGCTTATAGAAACCACAAAGAAGCTCCCAAAACCATCCACCCATTGGATGGTTCTACAATTGCTTCTTTTCTTCAACCATTGAACAATTACAATTCACCCCTTGAACCTTTAAATTAATTCCAATTAATCCCACATTAATTCCAGATTAATTATGATTAATAATTAATTAATTCTAACTGATTTCTTATTAATTTATTAACCTTATAAACTAACAAATCAATTGTTTAACTATTGATCTCATATTAATTTATTAGCCACATAATAAATTAATAAATCAACTATCTAATTCCAATTAATATATTAATCATATAATATATCAACAAATCATTTCCTCTTAATTTCGAATTAGATTATTAACCATATAATAATCTAATAATCATCCTCTCTCTATAATTGTCATTCTAATCAAGTTCTAGTTATGAGGGCAGCCTAAAAAGAACTTTACTTATAGTTACAAGAATATACAAGTTTAGTTACTGGCCTAGACACCTTAATCCAAGAGTCTCCTGCTTGGATAAGTCTGTAACTACAATTGCAATTATAGACCCTGAACTAA